ATAATTTTCAGTCAGAATTTTAAATAGTTGCTTCATTCCTTTTTTTCTTTTAGCTTCCAGTGTTGCTCATGAGAAGTGAGAAGTCTTATATATTTTTTTTGTGTGTGTATACACGTGTGTGAGCAGGTGAGCCCCTGGGCCCACTACTGCCTCAGTGCTGGGATTATAAACATGCACCTTTTGTCCTGGGGGTCAAACTCATGTCTTTGTGCTTATTGGATGATCTATCCCCTCAGCTTGAGAGTGCCTGTACGTCTCGACACAGCCTAAAAGTTTTTCACTGGTCAGATTATCCATCAAGTGCTACTCTAGAGGACAAAGAAAGACACTTCTACATACTCACAGACTGAAAAAGTGTACTGCGTGCATCCCTGTTTTAGGAGAAGCCTTATTCCCCCCAACACAAATTCGGTCAGGGCAGGAGAAAAAGCCTGGAACTAAGAGACTGGGAAGGCGGAGTTTCCAACACAGGAGAGGTGTGAAGAACATCCCTGAGTGAGGCCATTCAGCAGGTTAAGCCCCAGGACAGCATGAGAGAGGAAGGAGAAGAGAAGGGGAAGAAGGAGGGAGAGCACCAGCTAGATGGAAATCGTGGCTTTATAACCTGTTTCAACTGTAACTTACCATTGATTCTTCTGTATTTTTTTTTTTTTTGTCACACAGCCTGACCATAGTGCCCCGAGGAAACAATGTAAATGTAAAATCACTGGGGTTCATCTCAGGGGTTGTCCATCAGCCCACCAAAGCTATGCATTCTTTATTTTGTGGCTCTGGGCACTGAACCCAGGTTCTTGAGCATGCTAGGCAAGTGCTCCCTTGTTGAGCTACATCTCCAGCCAGCCTTTTTACTCTTAACACAATCTTTCAATAGTCTTACTTTCAGAGCACCAACTGTCTGGATACATGTTGCCTCTGCTCCTTTGACTTCTCTGAGGCTGTGAATTCTTTCTCTCCTCATGATGATCTTCTTTGGAGGAACTGCTGTGGCCTTGCTCTACCATAGACTTTTTCATTCTACTCTTCTGTTTTTGTAGGTGATGGTTTGGTAGTCTCACCCACTTGGAGTTTTTGCTTCTGCACCTTGTTCTCTCTGTTATTTGGGGTTGGTTTGTGAGGCAAGAAGGGGGTGGAAAGAACTTGATGGCAACTAATTTGAACCAGATGTCCTGGAAAATGTCTGGCTAGTCCAACTTTTGTCTTCTTTAATGTATCTTCTTTAATTTTTTAAACATGTATTTCTTACACGTATATGTGTACGTGTTCATGAATGTGTGTACTCACGTGAGTGTATGCACACTCGAAAGCACATATGATGTGTGTATGGGTGTGTGTGCCACAACAGGTGTGTAAAAGTCAGAGAGCAACTTTGTAGAGTTGGTTTTCTCCTTCCACTTTGTGAGTATCCAGGATTGAACTTCAGTTATCAGGACCGTGCAGCAAGCACCTTCAATCCCTGATCTATCTCCTGGCCTTTTCATGTATCTTCTGTGCCCTGAATCCATTCCCAGCTAGGATGTTCATCTAAAGCAGTGGTTCTTCACCTTCCTCCTGACCTGGTTGTCAGATTCTCCCTGATGCTTCCAGTGTTCCTGGTTCAGAGCCATCCTTTTGCTGGTGTCATGGTGGTGCTTCACGGAGACATTGTGGTCAGTGTGTGAGTCATATGTGGCAACAACAAAAGATACCATTGGGCTGGGAAGTGGCCCAGTGGAGAAAGTGCTTGCTGGGGACCAAGCTCAGATCACTAAAGCCCGTATAAAAGCCAGGTGGGTGTGGAGGCCTGCCTGTAATCCCAGCACTCAGGAGGTAGAGACTGGGAACTCTCCAGGCGAGCTAGCTAGCTGGACTAGCTGAGCTGGTAAACTGCATTACAGAAGAGATCATGACTCAGCAAATAAGGCAGAGAGTGATTGAGGGAGACATCTGATGTTAACCTCTGACCTCCACACATATGTGCCCACACATGCACATACACCATAGTCATGAAACACACACACACACACACACACACACACACACACACACACGAAAAAAATTGCTACATACTAGATGGCTCAAATAATACACATTTTATCTATCTATGTATCTATGCATGCATGCAAGCATCTATCTATCTATCTATCTATTTATCTATCTATCTATCTATCTATCTATCTATCTATCTACAGTTCTAGACACTGGAAGTATGAGATAAAGGTACCGGAAGGTTGGTGTTTACTGTGATCTGTCTCCTTGGCTCACAGATGACCATCTTCCTTCCACACTCTCATGATCTTTCCTCTGTACATAGTCATTCATGTATATAACCATCTCTGAACACAGCCATCCATGATTTCAGTCTGAGTATCCACATTTCTTCTTAAAGGACACTAGCAAAATCCCCAAAGGATTTATTTTAACTTAACACCTCTTAAAGTCCTACATCCAAGAATAACCACACGCAAGTCCAGGCAGTTAGGACTTTAGTGTATGAATTACAGAGGAACATAATTTAGACTGTAAATAATAGTGTTTTCTTGTCTTTGTGTTGGTGAGGCCCTTTAAAATGCTGAGAAATTTGTGGTTTAGAAAATAGTCTTCTGCAAATAATATAAAAAGTTCACAGCTGTGACGAGGTACAGACTTATACCAAGGGCCATAGACCATCCATTATTGTGGAGCAATGTCATGCTGGAAATCAAAAGTATATGACAGGACTCAGTCACTGTGTCTCTGCCTCAGATTTTCTCCATCTTTTCTACCTCTCTGCTCAGCTGTGTTTGGTTCCATTTTTCCATCAAGCTGACTGGCTTTTTTTTTAATGACCACCAAAGCGAAAGAGGAAGGACACATGGCCTAAGCCCATGTGGACGCAGAGCTGTTACAGAAGGGCAGGGTCTCCTAATATCTGTGCTTTATCTGTCCTTTTTGTAGGATGGTCAATCACGTGTGGCTATGAGAAAAGCCACAGTAGAGGTTCAGGAAAGTTAACTTCATCCTAGAAGTAGGATGCTTGTCTCACTATGGAGGGTCACATGAGAAAGCAACAGAGCAAAGGTTAGGTAGCAAGAGAGACAGGAAGGAGGGCAGTGCCTAAGCCATGCCTTTATTGGCATTTCCATAGGCAAGGCACAGCAAAGCAGGGCAGGGAACAAATGTAGGGCTTGGTTAGTTTGAATAACTACACAGGGTCCTAAGTTATGGAGTGGTACCTGTTTATCTGGTACATGATTCCAGGATATCTAAGGTAGATGAACATTGCCTTTGGGGTCTATGGACCAGATAGACTAAGGTATAGCTATGGACTGGTAAATGCACTGTCAGATATTGTGCTAAGAGTTGAGCATTTTGCTGTCTCTAAGAAACTGACTTGCCCTAGGAGAAACAACCCCTACCTAGCCAGAAAGTTGTTTTAAGATGGTGAAGAGCTGCCATACACAGCAAACAAAAAGAACAAGGAACATAGGATTCAGTTAGAACCCCAGAGTCTCTGACGATGTCCATAATGTTGTAGGATTCAAAGCGTCTTATTTGTGCAAGTAGCTTTACCAGTGAGAGGCTATTTTGTTTTGGATTTAATGCTAGCATTTGAAGTACTTGAGGAAGGAATCGGGGGGGGAGAGGGAAGGACAAGCTTAAAGTTGGGGACAGTAAAGGCAATATGGAACCCATGAGCCTGCATTGGAATTCAGGACAGACTAGAACCCATTTCAGTCTTCATGGTCTCCAACCCCAGTGATATGAGCATCTTGTGTGAAAAGCTGGGTCCTGCATTGCAGGCCTAGACAGCTGAGTTGCTGGCCAATGTCAGGGGGATGTGACAGAGAATCCAGGGGAAGGTGAGGGCAGCCGCAGATTCGAAAGCTATTCCTGTGCCGGGTAAGTGGCAATTTGCTGAGATTAAAAACAAAATAATAAAATATTCTGGGATCTTGAGATCTTGGGATATCCAAGAGCCCTGGATATAGAGAACAATGCAGCGGGTGACTGCCTGCCTCAGCCCTCTGGGTATAAAATCACATTCGTTCATAAGAATCTCCTCTGGGGTTTAGCAGGATTAGATGCATGTGGAGAAATGAAACCTTGTGAAGTCACATTCAGGCTAGATGAACAGACACACTCTAGAGCTGACAGATCACGACTGTTCGACTGGACACATGGTGGAAGGAACATCTAAGAGTGCATTGCATGTGCATGTGAGTATGTGTGCATGCACGCTCGCACCACAGCAATGGTTGTGGAAAGAGCGGTGTGGATATTGCAGATCGGAGAGCTGGGGAAGGGAGTCACAGGGGCAGGGAGCTGTTCTGAGGGCTGAAATCTGAAGACACTCATTCTCAGTTCCCTTCCCCTAAGAACCATTGTGAACAACCTTCAACCCTCTCACAGGGTGCATGGAAGCGGTGGATGCCAACATTCTTTTCTTTTTGCTTTTTTTCCTTTTCATTTTACAACCTAACAATTTCTCCCAAGGACGGGATTGTTGTTGCTCCAGAATCTAGGGCTCAGCCAGAGGTCCTCAGAATTGAAGGTCTTACGTGGATACTCGCCAATACCTGGTCATGTTTCAACGGCAAGGGCAGGCATCTGCATTTTTCTAATAGATTTTCATGGTGCAAACTTCAACAGTGGTGCTTGTATTACATCTGGTGTACTTGGATGTAGTTGGTTTAGATATAGGATTTGAGATGAGGAGTGAGGGTGGGTAAAGGGAAAGAAAGACTGGCTTTCTTGGTAGTAGTTCACAAACACTTCACCTGTCAAATGATGCTTTACGGTGGAACCAGTCAGTACTTCCTTCCTCAAGGGTTCGTACCTTAAGCTGTCTCCTGGATCCTGGGATATCCAAAACTCCCGATATAGAGAACACCAAAGCCTATTCTTTTTGTTTAGTAAGGATGACCATTAGTATTTATCCACTCTACCATTTTCTGAGAGCTGATGATGTCCCAGGCTCTATTACATATGAGATTATATTACATAGAATATGATCCTAGACTTTGGGGATCTAGATACGGATATTGAGGGGGACACATGAACAGAATAGTATGGATTGGAAAGACGATTTGTTAAGTCACAGCATGATACAAAGCATCTGAGTGGAGACACCAGTCTAGTGGTCTTGTCCCATGGAGTATAGCACGAATGCCAGCCTTTCTCTTAACCTCCTGTCACTTTTGGACCCTTTCTCATCCATCCTCATGAGGCGCCAGTTGTCAGGCCAACGAGTACAGTAGTCTATGAAAGGAATGCGGATTTGACTGGACCTTGAAAGTTGTTCGTTTCTTCTTGTCCAGCTTCAAAAGACGAAGGAGGCATTAGAGGCAGCGAGTCTCCGTCAGGGTTACTATTGCTGTGATGAAACACCATGACCAAAGGCAAGTTAGAGAGGAAAGGGTTTATTTGGCTTACACTTCTACAGCATAGTCCATTATTGAAGAAAATCAGTACAGGAGCTCAAACAGGGAATGAGCCTGGAGGCAGGAGCTGATGCAGGGGCCATGAGGGAATACTGCTTTCTGGCTTGCTCCCATGGCTTGCTCGCAGCCTGTTTTCTTATAGAACTCAGAACCACCAGCCCAGGGGTGACTCCACCCACAAGGTTCTGGGCCCTCCCACATCAATCACTAATTTAAAAAAAAATGCTCTTACAGGCTTGCCTGCAACCCAATCTTATGGAGGCATTTTCTTAATTAACACTCCCTCCTCTCAGATGATTGATTATAGCCTGTGTCAAGTTGACATAAACTAGCCAACACATGGAACAAGGTGTGTTTTGGGGGCTGGAATATGTATCTTTTGCACATTAGGTATCTGGGTTTGACTGTCAGTATCTCTTTTTCCACTGAGATTATTCACCCAGCCCAGCACTGTGCCCTGTTGGCTAGCCCCTTTGAGAACCTACCTCTCTTAGCTTTCTCAGTCTGTTTGGTGGAGCAGGATCTCCTAATGGCTCTGTTTATAGCAACTCTTGTCCTTAAAGACAACAGAGAAAGGCATCAATGAACTTCAGAGGTTCATTTAGCATTGAGAATGATTTAAAGTGGAGAAAGTACAGAGATAGATATCTGTGCAAAGGGGATTCTTCCCTGCAACTTTGTTTATATAAGTGGCTCATGGCCAGATTTTGCTCCACAGAAGGATTTTGTTTTTGTTACCATTCTCAGAGGAAGGATAATTGCCATGAAATTTGTGGCTTCACCCATGACTCTACCAAACTCGAACTTTAAAAACGAAGCAGGGGCGAGGTGCATAAAGATCAGTTGGTAGAATTCTTGCCTGTAATTCAGGAAGTCCTCTTGGGTTTGATCCTCAGTACCATCTAAACTAGGAGTGGTGGTACATGCCTATAATTCCAGCACACAAGAGGCAGAAGCAGGAAGATCAGAAGTTCAAGGTCATCCTTAGCTATATAGTGAGTTTGAGTCCAGCTTGGGCTAGAGACCCTGTCTAAACCCTTGCAAACAAGAAGAAGAAGAAGAAGAAGAAGAAGAAGAAGAAGAAGAAGAAGAA